GAATTGTAGGTGCTTGGCCCATCAACAATGATTTATTTAAGGTAAGTGGAGTGTAGCAATACATTGAGGGGCAACAAAGAGATAGCTTCAATCGCTGCTCATTTATTTGAGACTAAGGATATATATATATATATTCAGTATATATATTCAGTTTAATTACCTATATATATATATATATATATATATATATATATATATATATATATATATATATATATATATATATATATATATATATATATNCAACGCACAATTAGGAGCGGCAATACTTATATTTTCCATAGTGTTGTGTTCTGCTGTTACAGGGAACGCAGCGCCCATGGGTAACCTAGCCTCTCACTGATAAGGGATTAAGTAAATATGTTTTTTGCAGGACTAGAGACACTTGTATAAGTGAAGGGAATGGAGGATCAATAGTTCAAGACTGAAGCTGTAAACCATTGGAAAAACTGCTGTCATTCAGCTAAGGCTATAAAAACTTGTAAACTCCGATTGTTAGCTTATTAATACAGAGCAGTCGGAGTCGGGGAGTCGGAAGTACAAAAAACTGAGGAGTCGGAGTCGGAACATTCCACAGCCCTGCTTGCAAATAGGTTCCAGTTTTACTGCAAAAGTAGCCACTGGTAGAAAGGTCAATAAACGAGCTAAATATAGATGCCACAAAAAAAACCCTGATCAACCCCTTTGAGATTACACTGAAGCTCATTGATTCTGCAACTTTGTTTTGATAACTATCCAAGGCTGATTTTCATTGTCTAATATATCACTGATCAACAGATACTAAAACACGGGCATTTGTTGAAAGAGGTAACCTGCATATAGTTATAATTGGAACAGTAGTAAGCAGCTATTTATGGATTTTCCCCCTATTCGTGCAACTAATGAGAAGGGTCAACTTGCTGACAGTTCAGATTACAAGAGAGGAATATACAACTAAGTCACTATTACATATAAGCTATGTTTTCTTCCAGCTCATTAATATTATACATCAAAGAAGTATTGTGAAATATATGTAGTTTTAAGCTTAATGGTATAAATGGTATTTATATTAATGGCTTAATATTCTGATACAAAGTTATAGAATATAAGGAGGTAAAAATCTAAAGCTATAAAAGATTTCAAGTAAAGCTAAACCTGAACCTCTTCATATGTGTGTGTGTGTGTGTATAATATAAATATGTATTACTTTGTTTCTGTCTTTAAGGTATGTTTATATATACATATAAACATACTTTAAAGACAGAGATAAAATCATGTACATCACTAGCAATATCTGTCTCTTGCTTTTTCCCTTATGTTTTGATGCATAATTGTATTTACTGATAAAACATGAGTAATGCACAATCTGTTTAATATTCAGACTCATATATATAAAATTCTAACTTTGGAATCTGCATGTCTAGAAAGTATTTCTTCTAGCATTTAACATTCAGTTGTTCATAAAATCACAGGCTGACTTGTGCAAGGAGGAAACAGAAAAAGACACATCACAATGTTTTAAAGGGTTATTTATGACACACCTGAAATATATTCAGATGTGCTAAGTTATAAAATAGGTATCAAAACATTCAGTTACACAAACATTCAGTTATTAACAAATTCATTCATTTCATTTGGAAGAACAAAGTCAGACAATATACAAAGCAGAAATTTAAATTTAGGACAACACAAATCTACTAACAGAAAAATATACAAACTCCAATTCGGAGTGTTTTCTTGGGCTGAACGTATACAAGCACCATTATTTACATAAGAATCTATAATTTAAACTTCAATTGTCAAAAGATTAGCATCTTACTCCAAAGATAGTAAACTGGGATTTTACACTGGATCTAAGTTTGGTTGTAATAATAATAGTTACCACGCAGTGGCAGATATTGCATGAACAAGGAATCAACCCCAAAAATTAAGGTATGAAATTACAAACACATCACACTCTCCATATTCACTACAGTATTCAATAGTTGAACTGTTCTATGTAACTCAATGTACAAAGTCAAAATGCAAAATTAAAAAAAAAATGATGATACTCAATTCCTCATTCTTTTGAATCCTGAAGCAACATTGTCTCGACTATTAGGCAAGATTTTCAGTCTCTTCCATCCAAAATATATTTCCATTTTAATAAAAGACCAGAACAAGCCTTTTGTCAATATATAGACCACTGCAAATTTGCAAGATAATTGGAAGAGGGAGAGAAAATCAGAATCCCTGATTTACAGGTGGGTCGTTGGTGCTAAAATAGACTTCTTTAAAAAATTGTACCATCGGTCATTATAAATCCACTCTATTATCTGAAAAGGTGAACTCGTACCATTGCCTTATGCCTTAAGATGTTTTGAGTGAGCATGCTTTTAAGTATTACAAGGAGAATAGCCTTCTCCTACCCAAATATGCTTCCCAACTCTCAGAGGCTATACCAGGGGTCTTCAAACTTGGCCCTTTTATGACTTGTGGACTTCAACTCCCAGAATTCCTCAGCCAGGCATGCTGGCTGAGGAATTCTGGGAGTTGAAGTCCACAAATCATAAAAGGGCCAAGTTTGAAGAACCCTGTGTTATATTAACGGCCTCTGGAAACCAGCAACCAGTTGCAGTAGAAACTTACTCGTCCAAATGCCTGCGTATCAGTAAACGTTTTAACTAAACTTTACGTTTTCCCAAAGGATTTTTTTTTTCTCCACAGAGTTTAATTATGACAGTCTTTTCAAGCAGCCTTCTGACAATTGTATTTGCCTGAAAAAAAGATAATACCTGCCTTACTTGGAAAACTAAGTTGGTAAATATTTCAGAACACACTGTAGTTAGTCAAGTCAGCTGTGTTTAAGTTAGTACTGTTTAACAAGATTGGAAGAATAGTGTAAAAAAACTATCTGTCACTTTCTGTTCAGGTGATTTTTAACGCCCCCACCCAATTATTTCTAAAGTTTCCTGGGAAAAACTGAGATGGCATCCTACACTGTCAAAATCCATAAAGAAATGCAACATGCCACATTTTTTGTTGTGAGCAATAGTTAAGCTACTGAACATTATATCAAGAAATGCTACAATTAGGATTTGACTGGTATTAATACAATGAGGTGCATTAATTTCCAAGCCATGATTAGAAAGCCATTCTCAACTGAGTTGGCTCAGACTTCAATAACAAGCTGACTTTGGATTAAAAATATTTTTCCAACTAGTGTTCGTTCATGCATAAGTGCAAGAAGGTCAGGGAGATAAATCAAACCTCTTCATGCTAAATAATGCGTTCTTGGGTTTTTCTATTCTTCTCTCCCTTCGTTCCAGATGTTTCTAACCCCCTTTGCAACTTTCCATCCCAAAGCCTATGTATTCCCAAATTAAAATTTGTGGCAATCTAGGTACTAAAAGCCCTCTATTTTAATGAGAAGCTCAGTTTCTACAGCCCAGAATCGTTGACTCTACCATTTAAGATTCAACCAGGCATGTGGGTGTATTTTTAAGTGCCTTTGTTAAACAGCAATCACCATCATAAAACAGCTTATCAGGGAAATTTTTTTCTCTAAACTTCTCCCAAGTGTGCTTTGTACGTTGTCATAATGGTAGCAGTGCACCTGTGCTTAAAAATGTGATTTTACACCTGCAGTAGTACATTCCAAACTGATGCACCTTAACTGCCCTCTTATTTTGCAAGATCTTTCTCTTTTTTCTCTCTCACTGAAACTGGCCAAAGTTACACTAAAAAAAGTAAGAGTGTGGACATTAATCACAATACCCAAATAGTAATTTTGTTCACTGGCAAATGTCACACATATACACAAACACTTGGATTTATATCACAATATTGCTTAGGAAAAAAAAAACCTGACAGCCACTGACTCTTCTTGTAGAAAGAAGAAAATTCATATTTTAGCATCTAAATCAATGTATTGTCCAAGTGTATAAAAACCACATCTACCCAGCACATTACTTAGACATTGGCGTTTATCAGATTTTGGCGGTTTGAATGTGCCTTTAAAAATCGGGTTCGTGAGGAACATCACAGTGACAAAGAACTTGGAAGAACCTCTTTTTTTTTTTTAAAGGAAAATGTTTTACAGAAGTTAGATATGCTGAGTTTCATTGGCTTAATATAGGTAATGACAACAGTACTGCCTGAGACATTTACATGTCAGTAGCACAGGAAAGACAATATATGAACACCTTGTTATAAATAAAACAGTTATTACTTTCAGGCTACAGAAAGCAGTAACAGAAAGATATAAGTCCTGGAAGCCACGTCAAAATTACTGCTGTGAAATCAATGGTTTCACTCAAAACTCTGAGGGACACTTTAAAATGAAGACAGTTTTGCTACCAGCTCCTTGTTCAACAAGTGCAATATTTCAACAATATGTTTCAGTGAAAAACGAAACGAAACTGAATAATCAACATGGACAACCTTCCCAGAAATGATAGTGCAGATACATACGATGGATATTTTTTTCCCCCTTACAGCACAAGTAAATAAAGGCAAAAGGATAAATTGCTGCTTAAGTTCAGAATTTGCCACTAAGTAACAAAACTTTCAAAACAAGAAAGAGAAAAAGAGAGACTGGTACCAGCCCAGCCTTAGGCACGTCCTTTTTCTTCCCCTCCCCAAGTTTTTATGGTTCGAAACGTAGGAGAATATTCACACGCACTAATTAAAGGAATGGAAGTGATGTTCTTTTAAGTTTGAAGAAGAGGGGAAAAAAAGAGAGTAAGGAAATGATAAAGGAGCGAAGCCAGGCAGGAAGAAGAGATTGTTTCCAAAAAACAAAGTTAAATGAAGGATAATCAGCAACTTTAGTGGCAACTGGACGCAAATTATTTGTGCTTTAGTTTCTCAAAAAAAAATCCCCCACTTCTGCCACTTCTCACACGTGAGTTCTGTATTGTCTTTTCCACTTTGGAAGTTCCATGAAAATCCCACCATCGACTCCCTGTCAGGAATAGTCTTAACACAGTTTAATCCTGTCGCTTAGGAGAAGCCGGGTGTCAGTCCCCAAATCCACCTAAGGATTGGTGCTTTTGTTATAATGTAGCTTTGACTAGGACTGTTGTGAGAGACGACGGAAGTGAGGTAACACCTGGTTATCTGGAAGGTAAAGAGCTAATTCCAAAGCCACCAGAACAGTAAATTCAAATCCAATGAGATCTCGTCTGTTGAATCGGAATCGTTCTTCCAACTTCTGTAAAGGCAGAAAATAAAGAAAATAAATACAAACCAGAATTGTTCTTGCTAGGACTATTTGGACTTAATTATGGAAAAGAAAACGAATACTTAATATTACATGTATTGACAGCCGCGAGAATAGCATTTGCCCAATTTGGGAAAAATGAAAACTTACCATCTGACCAGATTATAATCACGAAAATTTTAGAATATGCAGAAATGGATAGACTAACGTTAGAGATTAAAGAGAAAGAAGACTCAGTATATTTTAAAACATGGGAAAATTTTTATCAATGGTTAACAATACGATCTAGCGAGAAAGGAATGTGAAATTTAATAGGCTGAATGATATTTACTGATTAACTATTACTCTCATGATTATTGTTACTTTTGGTGATTATAATTGTTTAGTATTATTATTATTTTAGTATTATTATTATTATTTCATTCCATACAGCATTAATCTTGCGAACTCTCAAGCTTCCTCCTTCCGTTATATATTCAAGATGGACAATATTTAATATTTATTGCTACGTATATGTAGGGATGTGGGTCTATACATACTGTATGTTGTTCATAGTATGTTTAAGTGTGTGTTATGTATGTGTTTCACTTTGAAAGCGGGCAACTGAATTTCATTTTTGATGTGTGCCATTGTGCCCACAGTATAAAAATGGCAATAAAGGTTATCTTATCTTATCATCTTATCTTATCTTATCTTATCTTATCTATCTTATCTTATCTTATCTTATCTTATCTATTGTTACTTAATATTTGTACCGGACGATAGTCTGCTTGCTAAAGCGTTGAATGATTGTTGGGGGTAACCCCACTATTGTACCTACCCTAACCCTATTCCTCAACCCTACCCAATACCCATACCGACCCTATCCTTTTCCTTATAAAATCTAATAAAACATTTTTTTTTAAAGAAAATAAATACAGCACCAGATCTGTGGGGATTCTCAGTCATGGCTGTCCCAGAGACGCTTTTTCAAAGGCAACCAAACTTTTCTTTTTTTCCCGTCAAAGACGTTTTGCTTCTCGCCCAAGAAGCTTCTTCAGTTCTGAGCCGAAGGAAGTTCTTGGATGAGAAGCAACCCGTCTTCAAGGAAAAACAAGAAAGTCCTGTTGCCTTTTGAAGAAGCATCTTTGGGACAAATACGGCACCATGTTTTGTATCATTGATTGTAGTGGTCTCCGTATTTTAACTGTCTGATATATAAAACCAGAGCTATTTTGGTGATTACATACAGATAGTCGACTTACAACCATTCATTTAGCGACTATTTGAAGTTACAATGGCACTGAAAAAAGTGAATTATAACCGCTTGTCACTCTTGTGACAATCCCGTAGTCACAGGATTGAAATTTGGGCGCTTGGCAACTGTGTTTCGGATACACTATAGTAGTTCTTTAGGAGCAGGTATTTATTTTCTGTATGGAGAAGCACCGAAGTGTATAAATGTACACCACTAACATCAGGGTGAGTAATTTTTCAAGGACAAGAGAGGGCAACTGACTAGCTGGGGGACTGTAAGCGATATCACTAGAAGGATGGATGTCAGTAGAAGGGGTGGGACTGGCCCTTGTAAATGTTTTAAAGGATAGGAAAGAGTGAAGGAAGATTTCTGGAGATAAACTGTTCCATTTTGACCTTTAAAAATCCCACTCATCCAGCAGAGCCAAACTAACATATCATGAACATTTAGTGAAAAAGGAGAAACATTTTGGTGATCTGATTTCTAGTCATTACTGAATGCTCTCTCTCTCTCTCTCTCTCTCTCTCTCTCTCTCTCTCTCTCTCTCTCTCTCTCTCTCTCTCTCTCTCTCTCTCTCTCTCTCTCCCTCCCTCCCTCCCTCTCTCTCTCTCTCTCTCTCTCTCTCTCTCCCTCTCCCTCTCCCTCTCCCAGAGAAAGAAAATCTTATTTTTCCCAAGGAAGAAAAATAATAATTCTTTTGCTATATAGAAAACTCTGTGCATTATAACAGGGGTCTCCAAACTTGGCAAATTTAAGACTTGAGGACTTCAACTCCCAGAATTCCTCAGCCAGCTATTATCTCTCTCTCTCCCCCTCACCCCCCCTCTCTCTCATGTGTGCGCATTTGTGTGCGTGTATAAAGTTGGAAATTGGAGCACTTTATCTCCTCCTTACCCAGGGGTGAGGATTAACATTTTGCCATCGAATTTCAATGGACCCATTTCCATGTAGTCCAGGGGTAGTCAACCTTGGCTCTTTTATGACTCGTGGAATTCTGGGAATTGAAGTCCACGAGTCATAAAAGAGCCAAGGTTGACTACCCCTGATGTAGTCTGTGGACTCCCATTTCTGACTTGTGCAGTATTCTGAAAAGCCACAGCCTGAAGGCCAGACAGATTTAGCAGCTCGGTGAGAGGCACACCAAATGGTTACATAATTCGACAGTAGACAATGACTTGTTCTTCTGCAGAACTGAACAGTTTTTTGCAATTGCGATATAGTGCTGATGTCTGTGGCAAGGAAAGCTAGAACTAATTACATGGCTTCAGGAGGATGACAGACCCTGGTGCTATTTTCTGGTAAAGAATCAAACTGCCTAAGAATTGTAGGTACTTGGCCCAGCAACAATGATTTATTTAAGGTAAGTGGAGTGTAGCAATACATTGAGGGGCAACAAAGAGATAGCTTCAATCGCTGCTCATTTATTTGAGACTAAGGAGCAGGGCTTATTATCAGAAGGCATGAATAGAACTAGGATGCATATATATATATATATATATAACTGCTTTTCCCATTGATTGACTTTGTGCCCTGAGGATGTCGGAAGGATCCGACGAAAGCTTGGCCCCTATGATTGTATGCTTTTAAAAGTTTTTAAAGGTTTTTTTTACTAAACTTTTAATTGTCTTATACTCTCCTGGTGTTCGCATTTTTATTGACAAAGAATAGAAAAATAAATTGCTTGATGCCATTACCAGCAAGATAACAGGGAGGAAAATTAAAAACTGATGCATATGAACAAATGGATCTGCTTTAGGGAAATTCAAATTATTTTGCCAATAACCAAGGAGACCCAGTCCCAGTACAATTCAAATTTAGTATCATGTCCCATTCCAAACTAACACAATCATTTGGCTGATGAACCTTTAAGTAGACAATTTGGGGCTGGTGTTGCAGAGACAACATTATTACTATTATTTTCATCACAATCCTGACATCCAAATGGTAGCTTTAAAGCACTGCCAACAGTTCCACCCTGCATCTTTCTAATTTTCTCATGCATTTACACTGACAACCCAGGTGCAGGGTATTCTTACCACACAACTAATTTTGGACTTCGAGTCTCTGTCAAAATGTATATATTTCCATTCGATGTTATTTGCAAGTCTGCAAAGATTTATGTATGAAGTGTAGGGAAAAAATATTTGAGAACTTTAGCGTTTTCAAAGAGGTGGAGATCCTGGAAGAAGCAACCTGGAGTTAAGGAAAAACTTCCTAACAGTGAGGACAATTAACCAGTGGAACAGCTTGCCTCCAGAAACTGTGGGGGCTCCATCACTGGAGGTTTTTAAGAAGAGATTGGACAGTCACTTGTTTGAGATGGTATAGGTCAGTGGTGGCGAACCTATGGCACGGGTGCCAGAGGCGGCACTCAGAGCCCTCTCTGTGGGCATGCGTGCCGTTGCCCCAGTCCTAGGCCTTCATCTTGGTTTTATAAAACCTTTTCACTTTAGGCCTCTGCCGGCGTGTGCAAAAAAAAAAGGTTCAATCAATCAGTCAATTTCAACTTCTCGCGAGAAAAAAAAAGATCTTGCAAAGTTGTAATTGATTGATTGAACTTTTTAGTCCCCCCAGTCTGCCGTTAACACCGCAGCCACACCCACCCAATGGGCCAAACCCACCCAATGGGCCACACCCATCCGGCACCCGACAATGCATAAGTGGATTTTGGGTTGCAGTTTGGGCACTCGGTCTCTAAAAGGTTAGCCATCACTGGTATAGGTTCTCCTGCTAGAGCGGGGGCTGGACTAGAAGACCTCCAAGGTCCCTTCCAGCTTCTATTCTATTCTATTCTATTCTATTCTATTCTATTCTGTTCTATTCTATTCTATTCTATTCTATTCTATTTCTATTTCTATTCTACTCTATTTCTATTCTACTCTATTTCTATTCTACTCTACTCTATTATTCTATTCCATTCCATTCCAATTTCTATTTCTATTTTCCAGTTGTACTTACATCAATTAGGTGTTTGACTTCGTGTTTCCTGAGATCACTGCTAATCTTAGCTGCGAGCAGCACACAAGCACCGGCACACAGTTTCCGGTTCTGTTTGTTGAGCTTGCCTTGAAGGACGAGCTTCTCAAAGTAGACATAAGCCATGGACACAGTAATTGGCTCCAGGTTGCACTCCATACTCAGGGTCCGCATTTCTCTCTTTAAACTGCAAGGGAGAAGAAAATGAAAAAAAAGTTCATTTTTTCTAGGTGGATGAGAGACACTTCAGAACTAGGTGAAATGTGTATGTTTTAAAGGTAAAGGCTTCCCCTGCCCAGTCGTGTCCAACTCTAGGGATGGTGCTCATCTCCTGTTTTTTGGCTGAGGGAGCACATGTTGTCCAAAGGCATTTTCTGTTGTCGTGTGGCCAGCATGACAATATGCTGAGGTGCACAGAATGTTGTTATCTTCCCACCAACGTGGTACCTATTTATCTACTCGCGTTTGCATGCTTTCAAACTGCTAGGTGGGCAGAAGCTGGGGCAGGAACGAGAGCTCACCCCGTCGTGCAGCGCTCGGGCCTTGAACCCAGGCTGACAGCTTCCCCGCTGACAAATTCAGCATCTTTAACCACTGAGCCATCGCGCCCACATGTATGTTTTAGAACGGTCCTTTTCATTAAGAGGCAGAGGAAGGAGAGTTCTCTGATCTTTGGGGCTTCAGGAAGTAGCAATTGAACCCCATATATAGCAGGAGAGAGATTATGGGATCAATCAAAAAAACATAGCTAAGGGGCAATCCCCACAGAAGATCGTTCAATCAGAAGAAAATCAGAAAAAGGAGCAATTATCTGACTTCTTTCCTATACATTAGAACCGAATTGTGCAATTTCTTGTAGAATCAGAAGTTGTTGTTAGTTGCGAAGCCGTGTCCGACCCATCGCGACCCCATGGACGTCTTCCTGTCCTCTACCATCTTCTGGAGTCCACTTAAGCTCACGCCTACTGCATCAGTGACTCCATCCAGCCACCTCCTTCTCTGTCGTCCCCTTCTTCTATTGCCCTCCATCTTTCCCAGCATTAGGCTCTTCTCCAGTGAGTCACTCACTGGAGAAGAATCAGAAGTATCAACTACCAATTCTGTATGACAAGGAAATATGGAACATTATAAGCCTGTGAGATGTTACTACAGGTAGTCTTCGGTTTATGACCAGAATGGAGCTTGTGGTCATGTGACTGACCCAATTTTACAAGCTTTTTGGCAGTCGTGACCCCAAGAAGGACAGCTGTTGGGATTTCAGAACTGGTCACAAGTATCTTCGGGGGGAAACTATCATAACTTTAAATGGTTGCCAAGTGACAAGTTGTAAGTCAAGCACTACCTGTATAATTAGAAGAGAATGAAAGAACTACAATGAAGCAGATATTTTTTTTAGCATGCTTCTATTTCATGACAGCAACTTTGATTCAGGTTTACACAGAATTTATTCAGTGCCCTTTCAATCTGATATTCAGAGAAAAGCGAACTAAATTAGATCTATATCCTAGAGCGGGGTAGGCAACCTTGGCTCTTTTATGACTCGTGGACTTCAACTCCCAGAATTCCTGAGCCAGCATGGCTCAGCTTGGAAACCTCTCCCTTTCCCCTCAGCATGGCTGGTTCAGGAATTCTGGGAGTTGAAGTCCACGAGTCGTAAAAGAGCCAAGGTTGCCTACCCCTGTCCTAGAGAGAGATGGATCAAGTGGTAAAAAACAGAACTATGGAAAAGCTTGAGCGTTTCAAGCTCAAAATGTTGAGTTTAGATTATTGTTTGAAAACGGCTATTCTAATGTCAGGGCAAGTGCTTCATCTTTACTAGAATGATTCCAAACCGGTTCCATTTTTATGTCAAGTTCCCGACATTTTAGTTCAAGCTGAAACTGTACTAGACACACTCTGCGAGGTTGAAATACTCTGGTTTCAATTGAAATGTTTCAAATTTTAATATGTTTCACATTTCTAGTCAAGAATTGTACAGAACAGAAGCACTGTTGGGAACAAAAGCATTCAAACTATGCTAGAGGATTGATTGCTCATGGTTGATTTGTATGTACAATAGAAGATGCAAAAACCTGGGTATGAAACAAGCTAAGAACAAATTTTTCCCCAGTATCATCTTCTAACTAAAAGTAAACCAAATAGATAAGGTTCCTACTTCATTGTCCGAAATGGTATAGAGTTTCCTGCCTGAGCAGGGGGTTGGATTAGATGACCTCCAAGGTCCCTTCCAACTTTATTATTATTATTATAATTAAATCTGTGCTTAGGCCAGTGTTTCTCAACTTCAGCAACTTTAAGCTGGCTGGGGAATTCTAGGAGTGGAAGTCCACACATCTTAAAGTTGCTGAAGTTGAGAAACATCGGTTTAGACCAGGGGTAGGCAACCTTGGCTCTTTTATGACTCGTGGACTTCAACTCCCAGAATTCCTGAGCCAGCCATAAAAGAGTCAAGGTTGCCTATCCCCGGTTTAGAGTATATCACAGCTAGATATTCATAACAGAATGAAAACCCCCAATTCCTAACATAATTAGCATAAAAAACAAGAAAATAATATTTCCTCACCTCCTGATATGTTACACTGCTATAATTATTACCTATGACTATGTTGTCATAGACTATATTTTGGGATGGAGCATATCTCAGAATAGTCAAATCTGCAATGTTATATGTACTTCCTCATATTTATTAATACTTAATAAATAATAATAATAATAATAATAATAATAATAATAATAATAATAATAATAATAATAATAATAATAATAATAATAATAAAAAGTTGGAAGGGACCTTGGAGGTCATCTAGTCCAAGCCCCTGCTCAGGCAGGAAACCCTATACCATTTCAGATTGTGCTGTCAATATTTACAGATAAAGCCTCTCCTTGGTTTACGGAGGAGCTGAGAGAGATGAAACGCCGGAAAAGACGCCTAGAGAGCAGTTGGAGGGCTAGCCGAACCGAATCCGACCGAACACAGGTAAGGATACATGTTAGATCCTACCTTGTGGCGATGAGGGTGGCGAGGTCTAATTACTATTCCACCCTCATTGCGTCATCAGATAATCGCCCGGCCTCCCT